GTCCGTCCGTGCATCCGTCCGGGACGGACCGGCATTCCCGGGAACCTGGCGCCCTGCGCGCTAGTTCCAAAGACAGATGTTTCTTTGCCCGGGATTATTTGCTGGAGGCTGCTCGGGCGCCGCGCTGATCGTTAACGAGGGAAATGGGCTGTTTAATGGCGCCTTACGAGGGTGCTTAGGCACGAGCCCAATTAAGAGCCCGCAGGGTCGCCCCGTTAAACGCGCCGGGACGCGGCGCTACCCCGGCGCCACGAAACCCTCGTGTGCCCCTCATGCCACCCACGATTAGTTCTGCCCAAACGTCCCGGGAAAGTGGAAAAGCCTCCTGGAAAAGCAGCTGGAGAGAGGCAGGCGCCTCGCGGTGCCTCCGGCCGCCCGGACGCCCAGGGGATGGTCGCGGCACCGGGTGCATCCTGGCCGGGATGCTCTGCACCTCCGCAGGGGGAAAGCAATTCTTTATTGCTTTAATTTAAACAAATAACTACTTGACAACTACACAAACTTCACCCTGCAACTCTGAACCCAAGCGCTAGCCCAAGCTTGAGTGCTGGCCATAATAAAATGCTAATTACGATTCATAAATTATATTGGCATGCCCGGGACTGTTGAAGATCCTGGATGAAGTGTAGGGTTCAATTTATCCTGCGCGTGTTGCCGACAGTGCTGCCAGCCTCCTCCTTGTCCCCCTGTGTTGTTTTGTCATCTCTGCACTATCGCCAATTCATCACAAAGGCAACTGAACTCTCCCATGTCCACCCACCAGGTGACTTTGTCTTCGCCACTCTATGACTTCTAAATTAAATTGTCAAAACACATTACCGGGAAAAATATCGCGAAGGGAAAGTCCTTTACCCTTTTATCCCATCTCAGGAAAGAATCGGTTTGATTTGAGGAAAACATGTCTGCTTCATTATCCTTCCCGCGATCATATTTCTTCCCTCGGCAGCATGAGGGAAGGAGTCAATACGGGAGCCTCGGTGACATGATGTAGCATCCCCCAGGAGTTGTCTCCATAAATCCTGCAAGTGCCCAGGCAACGGAGCAGGGGAGGGGGTGATTTTCACCGCCTTCCCTTCCTCCCACTCTCAATTTAAAGGAGATTAGGGCTCCTTGGGCCTGCATGGGCTCCTTGAAACACCTGCAATAAGAGGTCGGCCCAGAGAAGGTCCATGTGGAGGAGCCCTTGGACATGCGACCTCCCTAAGAGGGAGCTTGTAGGGGTAGGAGTACCCCCCAAAATGGCTCTAATTCAGACCAGGTGCTCAAAGGAGGGCAGAGGGACCGCAGGCTGCTCCCCTGCATCTCCCCTCTGCTGCTTCTGCCCCCAGTCACCAGCCTCGTGTCCCCACTAGCCTGGAAATGCAGGGTAGCCCTCGGGCCACTGCCTGCAAACATTAAATCAAGGGCAGTTTTGCAGCCTCGTTCAGCGGGACTTGTATCACTCCGGCTAATCCGGGAGATCCCTGCTGAGAGATGCAATCACGTACAATAATTCCACTGGAGGCATAAAACAGCAGACGCCGTTTCTCAGCGGAAAAGAGATGCCAATTTCCACCTTTTCTCACACGTTGGATTCTGGGCATAATGCAGCAGTCATAAAAAGCGAGTGGCACATTGTGCTCTGCTGCTTTTGGCTTCGGACAATATTAACATAATAAACGTGTGTTGTTTATTTATTCTGCTATAGTGCAAGTAAAGCAGGCAATGCCCCGCGTTTAAATGGGGTGTTTTTAAACGCTCGCATTTCCTTAGCTGTTATGATGCATTAGCCATCAGTAGCCAAATTGCCTTGTATTTGCAGTTTTATGGGTACATTTTATCAAGCACACAGGAGCTGCACTGAAACCACGGAAATAAAGTATTCCACTTGTGTTAGGCAAGTACTATTTAGATGCAAGATATGGCTGGCCAGGAGAAATCTCTTTTTTTTTTTTTTTCTGCTGCAGCAGTTCCAAATTCATCTCCAAATATTGCTTCTCCTCACAGTAAGGACTGCCAAGAGGCCGCTTTATGGCCACGTAGCATCCATGCATCCTCCGCGCGCTGAGAGCTCACGTCTGAACCCTGCCTGCCTCGGGAACCACCTGAGTGTTTCTTTGCTGTTTTAAAATATCAAAATGTTTTTGCTGTTCTCCTCACCGAGACGGTGGCTGCCGGGGGCGCAGTGATGTCTCCCCAGCAAAGCAGTAAAAGCCCCATTGAACAAATACGGCCAGTGGAAGGGATAAACGTGAGACGGAGGGTTGTTTGGGGAGCTGGGCATCTCGCTGGCTGTCACAGCGGATCTGCAAGGACTGCAGAGCAGCCACGCACAGGGCTGAGGAGACAGCTCCGTGTCACCGGGAAGGCCACCGGGTGGGTGTCACCCTGGTGTCCCCGGGTGGACGGGGACTGACACGGGGGCTGCTTCTGCCCCGTGCTGTGGGGCTGTCCCGGCAAAGTCGCCTTCCAGCAGCCAAGGCCACCGCCAGGCTCCGCAGCAGGGACGTGTGTTGGTGACAGCAGATCCACGGAGGGGAAATTTGCTCCCTCTCGTGGTCCCCAAGCAGCTGCCGGGGTTGTGACACACACAAGGCACAGGAAGGGACATCTGCCCTCCGGTCTGTGTCACCATGAGCAGGGATGCTCTTTTCTCATTTCTTGCAACACCTGAAGCTAAATCGGCTTTTTGGTGGGGACTTTCAATTCTCTGGAGCTCCTGGTTCCTTTTCACGTATTGCCTCCAATGTCTGTTGGCCTTCTAATTTTATCTGGATTTATTTCTCCCAGAGAGTTTTATCTGCCTTTCAACCAACTCCAGGCTGAGTGTGTAACATGAATATTACAGCGCTCACTCAGAGATGAAACGATGACACATTCCTCATATTTCTAGCCAAGTACAGCCCTTTTTAATACATACATAAATAAACAGGAGCTATATCTGCAATGCCCTTTTTTTTTCAAGCTTCAAGTACATTGAAGGGAAAAAAAATCACAGATTCAGGCAAAAATGTGGGAAGCCAAAACAGGGCAATATTGACTCAAAATACACGGAGTGTGTGGAGCACCTGCGACCCCCGCTTTGTTATAGATTAGGCTGGAACTAATTGGCAGGGGCAGGAGCTGCCCGCGGGGGTCCCCACCGCGGCGCGCGACATGGCGGCTCTCACGGCGGTCGAGCGTCATGGCGCCCGCGGGGCAGGCGTCATGGCGGGCCCAGGCCGCGGCGCCGC